TTTTTTTTTTTTTACTTTTTGGAAAAAAATGGCAGGGGCAAAAATATCCAAAGAGGGCGATACATAGTAATAAGGGGGCGATAAATAATAATGCCCATATTTTTTTTAATAACTATAGAACAGAAAAAACGTGATTTGATGGGTACTTGGGATTCTTGATTCAGTGAATTCTCGAAGTGTATTATTTGCTTATTTCCTATTTGGGAAAATGAGTGTATGCAGTTGGTGATTGAAAAAAGGAGAATTAAATAATGTGCATAGCAGTTTTTTTCACTTTATTTATGTAAATAACTAGTGCGTATCACGTATGACGCACGGAGTATATAAATTTAGAGAATATTATAATTTGACATGTATTAGGATATATGAGAGTTACATATGAACATTATTCAATCATAAAATGTTCGATATTATTAAAAACTTTTGTGTACACAACATTATGAGTTTGATTATTGGGTAACTCGTTGTGAGAAGCACAGGCCGGATGCGGGATGCACAAAGGGCTACGGAAACTGGGCCTCACACAACTGGGCTCCCTTGTTGGGCTTCTCTCCTAGGCTGTGGATGCTGGTTGCTGTCGCCGAAAAATTGTCCCACACACTTGGACAACTTTTCTTATTTCTAACTATATTATAAATTATATTTTATTTCAAGTTTAAAACTTTTTCATTTCTATTTTATGTAGATAGTTATTTTATATTCTCACCTATACTAATAAAGCATGTTTTTAGTTTGAATCATCTAACTTTCTTATTAGTGAGTTGAATAATTTATAGATAGAAACATAATTTAATGATTCCCTCTAATTTCTCTCTCCTCTCCTCTATTATTTCATACTAGGACAGAGCCCGTGCGATGCACGGGGTGCACAATTTTAAGGCTATTTATCTAGACTTATAATTATATACATGAATACAGAAAAATGTACGGGATATATATAGTACGTGACCCGTGCGAGACACGTGATATATTTATTTGAGGAATACTATATTATAAGATGCAATATTCAATAAAAGTTTATAATACGCAGGAAAATCATACAATAAGATAGTATTCAACAAACAAACAATCATATATTATTAAAGACCACCTTGTACACAACATTATGAGTTTGATTTTCCATACAATAATAATAAGATTTTTTGTAAAAAGATAAGAAGGAATTTTCAATCTACACAAACTTTAAACATTAGATGTATTTACGTAAATCAATGACTATATAGACAACTAAACCCTTCAATTTAGTTTTGACATCTACTTTATTATGGGTGACGTAAAATAAGGATTTAATTTTGACCGATTAAATCTTTATTCATAGGCTTGACATATAAAATTGATTTGATGGGATTTTCTTAGCTAAATCGATTCTATGTGATAAAACAAATCTATACTTACCTTTGATTTTTCCAGCAAAGGTAAAAAATCGGTTCTGATTTTTATCCCATAACAAATATTTAATGTCAAGCCTATAAATACCAAAACAAATCTGTAATTAATATCATTCTATTTCCAGCAAGCATTAATTACCTTTGACTTTTCTGCCTACTATTTCTAGTAAATAGGATGACTTTTTATATGAGTATAGATTTCATATAATGCAAAGACTGAGATCATAAAAAAGAATCCTAAAAACTGAAACAATATATTTGCATAATTTAAGGCCATTAAGAAACCGATCTCTAAACCAGATTTGATTTTCAGAATATGTTTTTTCATTTCGAATTCCATACAAAATGGAATTCTTTCCAACCAATAGATGTCATAGCAAATATTAACTCCTAACTATTAGACTATTAGTACATAGCGAGCAAATTGTGTACTGATTTTAGAAAGTTAAAATGATTCATGTTAAGTAATTTTACCTTTTATGCATGTTGAACGGTGAGTTTTAAATATTATTTCATAGAATGTAAAAGTGTATTATAGTATTTTTATGAGATGTTGAATTTGAAAATTAATATAATTCTTCTTCATAGGAATTTTAAATGTAACAATATTCTTTGGTATACACTACTAATAAAATCTATATTTAAAGTTTATATTTTTTTTTACCGGAAAAAATTCCTTAATTTAAGGAATCATATATCTTCAATCAGTCCACATCTACTTCACAATTTTAAATCTTGAATTTGATGAGAATTCGTATCTATGAGTGCAAAATATGGTTTAACAAATTAATTTTTTATTATTATTCTAGCCATACTTCTTTATACGATTTTTTGTGAAAATACAAAAGTAAATTCTTAATTTTAAATAAGCCGTACATTAAGGAGTACAAATTTATTGAAATTACAAAAGTAGTTTTTTACTTTTAAACAGACGTAAATTTAAATCAGTCATAAAAAAGTAATATTTGTTTACCATTTAAATATTAAATCAGCCGTAATTAATGTTGTTTGTTTTAGTTGTCACGGTTTTCTCCAAACTAAATTAATAACTGTCATGATTTAATGGCAACATTTAATGCTGCTCTATTTTTAGGAGACATTAAATGTATTTGGCGGGAAAAACTTGCTAAAAGTGTTAAATGGTTAATCTTTTAATATAATGATAGATTCCATATTTCACAATTTTTTCCAAATAAAACAAAAAAGTTACATACAACAAATATTAGGTTGACCATCAAATAAATCAATATAAGATTGTAAATAAACGTAAACTTTTCCTTCATAATTTCTATATTTTTTTAAAATAAAAATTGTAATGTTTCAAGTTCGAGATGAAATTAATTGTTTATGAATAGGCTATTTATCTTAATTTTTGTTCAAAGTTGGTTTATTTTTTATTTATATCATCAGATATATCATGTTAGTCACCATTGGACATAAGCTCATAGGATGTGATGATAAATGTTCATTTAGATTTTAACATATACAACATAAATGTAAAAAATACAGAGAATATACAGTTGCACAACAATTAGAAAAATGTGATTTTCTTAATTAAATCTTTAGGATAAATGCATTGCCAAATCATAAAATTCTTCAAGCAAGGAGTTCGCTCTTATATATCAATCGAGATTTCAGTGCCGATAATTTGCATTGTTCCAAAAAAATAATATATTTTTCAATAAAATAAATAATGTATTTGTGACTAATGAAATCAAACTACGAAATAAAGAAAAGGAAGTAAGAAATGCGCAGTCGTTGGAAAAAATTCTATTGTATGGACGATTGTTTTTTATCAATTCAATATTTATTTTTACTAAGTAATATAGGTTATAATAACGCAAGAAAATGATGTAAATTATATTACTTAGGAAAATCATATATTCACTACAAAAAGAATTCATAAACATTGAAATGTTAATGTATCATAGTTTTTACCTTTTTTTAATATATATTTTGTATCTATATTAATATTGATTTTCGTTTGGATTAATTTATGACATGTAGGTGATTTGTAAATATAATTTGATAATATCGATTAATTACCATAATTCTTTTGGTTTCTATAGATACTCGGTTTTTTAAAATTTGAATGTCTTGTTCTATTCATTTTTCTAAAAACAATTAATATTTATTTTAATATAAAACATATTTTTAAATTTAGATTATGTAACTTATTTATTAAAAAAAATAGTTATTTTTTTAAAGTATTTGATTTTGGTAAATTAATCATTTTAGATTTTTGAATTTATGAAACATTGGAAGAAGATAATCTAAAATATCCTCAAAGCCCCTTAAGAAAAAAAATTGCATTGTTTGATAAGTATAAACTCACCCAATTAGTCCATACATGTAAAGGATAATCAAATCAGGTTAAAAAATAAAAAATAACTCAATGATTTAGGCTATTTTAGTGGGCTATATATTGACCACGAACAAACAATTTG